TACACGTACTTGACATTCTTTTGAATTCGTTTAATGGAAATAGTATCTATTTTTTCGTAATGATATTGTTTAAATGAATTCAAAAGAACATAAGGTACATGTGTTTGTTACAATTCATGCCGTTACTCAAACGAACAAAAACGTGGCATGCAGGCTTTAACTGTATCAATAGGTATGGATACTTTTTTGCTGCCTAGTTTACCAAAATCAATTGTGCTTTCGAAGTTGATATGAGTGATCAAAGGAAGAAAATATTATTTTTATACACCCCCTACAATTTAATGTATTCAATCTTAAAGTGCTTCGAATATAGTTCAAAATTTATTGAGGACAAGTGGCCAAATTTCTTGCTTTCCTTTTTCTTTTATAATACTTACAAGTGTAATTCGCCTACATTTTATTGTTTTCAAATATATATTTTCTTGTTGTTGGTGTTCACGAAAGATTTTCTATCATAAATCGTGCATTTACTTATATAAGGTAAGTCATTATTTGTTACAGGAATACATATCACACAGACTGGGACACTGAGGTAGTAAATGGGTCATTCGCTGTGGTTTATTACATTTCTAAATATGCTGATTGCAACTTCGAAAGCAGTTGCAGTCAGATATTAACCACGGCATGCGAAGGTAACGTCAATGTCCTTTTCTAAAATGTTGGTGTCGTAACGCATATTTTTTCATGATCTTATCACGTCTATACACACGAATCGTCATTCAGACGCTAGCAAAACGTGGCGACCATCTTTCTACAGGAATATGGTTGGCATTTGGAGTTGAGAAATTTATGATAACGACATGGCATATTCAGACATCGAATCTTCCTGAGAAGGGAACGATCATGATGATCTTAGTGGCATGTTCTTGTTCACTGCCTTTTCATTAAGTCTAATAATGTGTCAGTAGTATCAGAAATATGAAAGAATATATATCAGCTTACTTTTATGTCCTAAGATGAAGTAAGGTGTCACATGGTATTGCCTTCTATATTTACCAGAAAATTCTATACAGACTGGTATATCCAATGGTCCTGCCATTGACTGTGCTCTCCAAAATCACTCAACAATGTCAACTATTATATCAATATACGTTAGTGAATAGTGATATTTGTCATGGATAGAATTTCATCTATGAACAAAAGAAATCCATATGAACAATGAACTAACAGATATTCAACACAGAGAAATAGTTACAGTCTTCTCATGTACTCCATCAATAGTTGAAAGGAGCGATGTGATTGGCTAATAGAGAATGAGGGACAATTTCGAATCATTAATTTCAGATGTCAGTTTCTGTTGAATTTCTCCTGTAAATTCGATATTTTCATTATTTTAAGACTCAAATAATTGTCGGATACATCTTGGTTTTTAATAGAAGACAAAGTCGAGTATCAAGAGGACAAAATTCTTTATTTAATATCCGGAACATACATAAAAACAAACATATTACCCTCTAAATGTTATGTAAAACGTATCAAAATCCAGAAACAAGATGACACTCCAGAATATGATACTGAGCTGTAATTTGTTTTTGAACGCAACTGATATGTTCTTACTCAAATAACTAAGATATTGAAACATTCAAGTTGAATATAGTCTAATTTTTTCACCTAGTGCACTAATACTACACAAGATTTCAACTGGAAGTTCGCAATATTTTGAATAAAGGTCAAATACTAGTACAGTAGAGCTAATACAGCTATATCCTTAATAATCGGTCACGGACAGTGTCAATGACTACCTGTGATTTGTGCCTGTGGTGTATCTGTATGGTATCATGGAGTTATGTCTTTCTCATTCTTAAAGCCTTGTAAATTTTGAATTTAAATCACTAAATTAGTTTTTAAAAATTGAAATTGTTCTTATTAATTGAAATAAATGAACGTAAGATATTTAATTAATCAAAGCCAGTTTTGATGACAGATTTATACTGAATAAGCATTGCTCAGAAAATTAATTGGTTGAAAAAGGAAAGCGAATTTGAAACAAAATTCTACTTGTTGATTATCTTCTGTTAATAATAAATACATATGATAAAATCATTTCTTAAACATCAAAATAAGCATGTGATTAGAAATTTAAATGATTTAGATTAAACTTAAATGAAATCAATAAGCAAAATCTTTTAAATATATTATATATATATATACCCTTTTGTATTTATGGTCGACAATTCGTATTTAACAATAGAATATTTTATTTTGACATATTACGAATGTTATGTGTCTATAAAAGTATGATGTATGTAGAAGTTTAATATCATAACGTTAAAGAGATATATCCTATAACAACAGTGTATCCAATTTGATTAGATGGTAATTATACAGCAATAACATACAGACATACAGATTCCTAATTTATAAAGCCTGACTCTGATTTCTCAATAACGATATTGATCACATAAAGCATACATAAAACTTTTGTACAATAACTAAAATATACATATTTAGAGAACCAAAAACAGTTATTTATCTATTAAATTGTTTAGGTAGGTCAGAGCACATATAGGCATGAAAAAAGCGCAGATTTACAGGTAAAAAATACATATCTATTTCATATACGTCACTGGTAATTTCAAGTTTCAAGTATTAATATCAATTATGCATTGATTATAACCAAAGTTAAACTTCAAGGGAGATAGGTCCAGGTAGGTTTAGGTGATAATAAGCCCAAAACCATTAATGGAGGAAGGAAACTGATCAGGTGTTGAAAGTGAAGTGAAAGCCCACGTGACTATAATGGAAGAATGACTATCTTTTGATCAGAAACTATAGAAGGGTCTACACGTATAGCAAGCCTATCTCAATAACTATTATACAGTCATGTTTATAAATTAAATAACAAAATACTGAATTTGGGTCAATGCTGGATGAAATCTTTTTCACAATCGAGCAAAGACATAAAAAGTCTACTTAATAAGTTTTAAACAAAGACATCATTAAAATATTTTTTAGAAGTTGAGAAATTTTTAGAAACATTTGTCGTGTAAAATTCATTTTAGTGTCAATTTGAACTTTTTTTGTATTATAATTAACATAATTACAGGCGAATATTACTTCCTATCATTATATTGTTTTGTTTATCTAGTATACTAAATGGTCGGTATTTGGGAGTAGTTAACACTTCACACTCCCACAGTCTTTGCCTGTAAGTTTTATGGTTGACTTAATTGTAAGAGCGTAACAGTCCAGTGGAAGGGCTTAATTATCTACATGTAACAATGGAGTGGCACTGATAAGCTCTTTGGATTGGCCATGGCTATTGGATGTTCAGTTTGGTAATACAGGTATTGTTTGTGATACAGGAGGCTAACATAAGATATTATTATATAATATATTTGGGTGTAGGGATAAGTCTACACGCAACTGCATGGTATGATCAGACAAAAATTATTATGGAAAGTTGATAACAATCAAATTAAGTGTATGTAATATAATTATTTTAATGTGATTTTAATTTTCCCGAGATAAGACATTTGAAGTGTTTCAGGTCTTCAGGCTTCAACACCGGCTGTATCGGTTCTTGATACAAGATTTGCTCATTCGGAGAACACAATTATAAGCATTGGGTGTAAGGTGATGGGTGGTATTCCAGAACCTACTTTAAGGATAATTCCGAGAGATGGAGCCAGAATAGTGACAGATCCAACATACCTGACAAGAAAAGAAAACATGACAAATTATTATCAAACGTTGGTGTATTACTCAAAACTCGAAGTGAATATTTCACATGAAGACAATGGCGCCGTCTACTGGTGTGAGGTTGAACAGCTCAACTTCCAAACCCAAAATGAAAGCATCACACTAAACGTACAGTGTAAGTACATCTCTGAATCCTTAGTATTTTATTCAGTCAAAGTGATTTACTGGTTTTAGCTCAATAAATCATCGATATTTGTTATGAAATATCAGTTACTCCTTTTTTACCATTGAGGACTGAATGGAGACATTCAAGTTAAAGCATTTTTCATACAACTTTAGAGTTAAGACCAGTTGTGCCAAACAATGAAGTAAAATACATCATGCAGCTGTCCTAGAATTTGTCAATGGCCCTTAGGGCCTAACGAAATTTTGAGGCCCAGAACACGACGGAAGAAAATGCGAAAAAGTGATCGAAAGAAAGGTCAAAATATAGATTTGGAGGCGCACAAATAAATCAATGAATTTTGAAATTTTCCTATATCTGATCATTTTTGAAATAACATCAGTTTTTTTTGTATATATTCTGAACCGTGCCACTGATTTGCAATAAACGTTTTCAAAACTTTCCGTTAAACTTCTTATTTTTTTACATGTAAAGAAAAGAACACGGGATTTTCATTGTTTTGTGTTGCGTGTTAAGTCTCTCCAGTTGACACCGTTTGTTTATGGTATATATTCCGTTAAACATGTGAAAAACTGTATATCAAACAAAATAGTGAGATATCATTACATCATGGATCTTAGCTTTTGATTAATTATTTCCATGTCTAGGATGTACTTACCTACTCGTAGTACCACTGTTGTCCGGTAATTCTGCGCAGTGGAAACTTTATCACGAGTTACGGAGGCCCAATCACGTCGTCTTCTCTCTCTTTGTTACAGATGCTCCTGTTATCAAAGTTCCTGTCAACAAAACGGTCAATGAAGGAAGCAATGTTACTGTCGAATGTGTTGTCAGATCCAACCCTACCGCAGTTGTAGGCTGGTATGGCCCTGTTGGTGTTGAAAGATCTAACTCAAAAATTCTAAACCTTCAAAGTGTGGGGCCTTTACAAATGAAAAATTACAGTTGTGTTGCTGTGAACAATTTTAATAGTTCAACATTCACAACCAGCAGGACAACGGCAGTTTATGTTAATCGTAAGTAATTCACTAGCTAACTTTATATCTAGATATAATCTTCACTTAAAGAATGATATTGTGATAACCTAGATGTAAATAGGGATGACCCGACACTATATATGGCAAATAATCAAGGATTTAAATCGTATATATGTATGATTTTTTCTCAAGACATTATGGTCCCCCGCCAAGTGTTCGTAGCTGAATTCGAGGACATTGAAATCAACTGTACCGTCGTGTCATATACGGAGATAACAGAAGTCATATGGCGAAGAGGAGATGATACAATTCTTTCCAACTCGTCCATCTTGTATCTGAAAAACACATCCCGCGGAGACATGGGATTATATTTCTGCCAATCAAAAAATAGGATAGACGCCGAAATACAAACGATGTCAAAAGTCACAAAGCTGCACGTAGAATGTAAGTACATCACTGGCGTGTACTGTCTTTCTGTTTCCATGTAAATAATGTCTCCAGCGGGGTTTCTTTCTATATCATGTTAAAGTACTTTTAAACGGAGTATATCCATAAAAAGTAAGAATTTTAAAAAAAAATCAAACCAACATATGCTTTTAGTATTGAAAGTCATTTCCCATATACATGAAGCTTTTTATTTAATATGATAGACCCGCCAATCGCTAAAGTACCAGATAACACCACTGCTGATGACCAAGAAGACGTCATACTCCATTGCATAGTCGACTCTCATCCTGAATCAACGATCACGTGGTACAGTCCAGATAATGAGGTGTTATCAAATACGTCTATGTTGGAATTGAAAAATGTTAACCGTTCTTACATTGGAAATTACACATGTAAAGGACAGAATGTGGTAAAAGGATCAACTCGTTCGGATAGAAGCACTACGTATCTGTTCGTGAACTGTAAGTTGGAATACTTTTTTGTAGAATATGCATACATGGTCATCTCAATGTCACATGAACCAGAGAACTCTCTAGGTGTCTATGACAATGTTTCCTACAAAAATCCAGGTTAGTTCTTGATATATAGAATCTCTTGATCTTGTCTTTCGATTTTCATAACAAATATATATTTTATTAGTTGCAAAATGTTACATCCACCAGAATTTTTCTTGTGTTTTTTCACATGATGTGGTTTGGTTACAATTACATGTGCTTACTAGTATAAATATCTGTTCAGTTTAAGGAATGAAGATAGCAAACATTAGGAAATTTGCAATATCTGTGAGGTTCAACGTACGAATAAAAATCAACCAACTCATAAATAACCATTTCACCAAAGCTGTAATAAAACAGAAGTATCAATCATTACATAAAGGATCAAAACAGCTGTTTCCGTATATTCTGTTCTACATCTCAATATTATGATCCAGCTTGGTACCTCGAGATGGACTATATAAATAGCACGTGTCACGTGGAACGTTAAGAATATTTTCATGACGTTTCGAGTGATTTTTTTTCTTCGTAAAGTCTATTCCACAAATTTAATGTACATGATTAAATTATCAAAGGGAATAACACAAAACATCAGCATCGTTTTCCAACAGTGATGAATGTATCAGATTATCAGCATCACCACGTTAAATGATAAAGAGCTTAAAATGAAAAATACTACTAAATAAAGAGCTATTTTTCTAGACCTTATCGTTCTGTACTTATGCCTAACAAAGTTTAAGAAACTTTAAGCAATTCTTTATCGTGAATTCCCTATTAAGTATTAATATTTTATATAACGATTGCTGAAGAACACACGTTTAAGGCAGGAATCCATCTTATGTTGATCGATACTTATTCACGTACTCCTGATTTCATATTAGTACATGTAAGGGGAGGGAAGCCGTGACAAAATCCGAATTCGTGAACTTTCCTTTCCTAGATTATAAAATGTCAGTGGAGTATTGAAATATAAATATTGGAACATCCAGGCCTCAATATTTTACTTTGCAAGTGTGATTGACCTAAACACGACGTCCTTACTGTAATCTGATGGTTATATATGAACTTACAGTATTTGTATCCATTCCAGATGCACCTATTATACAAATTCCACGAAATACGACTGTTAACAAACTGCAGGACGTTGTTATTGAATGTGAGGTGCTATCATTTCCCCCTTCAACTTTCCAATGGCAAAACCAAAACGGCGATATCGTTTCCAATACGTCCAGCTTGGAATTGAATAATGTTCAGCCTACCGATGCAGGGAGGTACACATGTCTTGCTGTAAATATCTTTCGAGGAAGTTCCCATACAGAGAGCGCATCTACCATTTTATTTGTCACTTGTAAGTATTTTATCTGTAAGTATTACAATCACATTACATATAAAGCATCACACGATAGATATCACATTATTGTTTTTGATACACAGGGAAACACGTTAGATATATGTACTATATGATAGTCATAGAGGTACTTTGCGACGTTTTTGTCATACAAGGCCACACGGTAGAGACTATACGACCGGTTTATGTCATACCAGGCCACACGGTAGAGGCTATATGACCGTGTTTTGTCATATACGGCCACACGGTAGAGACTATATGACCGGTTTTGTCATACAAGGCCACACGGTAGAGACTATATGACCGGTTTTTGTCATACAAGGCCACACGGTAGAGACTATACGACCGGTTTATGTCATACCAGGCCACACGGTAGAGGCTATATGACCGTGTTTTGTCATATACGGCCACACGGTAGAGACTATATGACCGGTTTTGTCATACAAGGCCACACGGTAGAGACTATATGACCGGTTCTTGTCATACAAGGCCACACGGTAGAGACTACATGACCGGTTTTTGTCATACAAGGCCACACGGTAGAGACTATATGACCGGTTTTGTCATACAAGGCCACACGGTAGAGACTATATGACCGGTTTTTGTCATACAATGCCACACAGTAGAGACTATACGACCGGTTTTTGTCATACAAGGCCACACGGTAGAGGCTATATGACCGGTTCTTGTCATAAAAGGTCGCGCCGTATTGATCTGTATTTAGCGTTTTGGAATTCTCGGCCATACGGTAAAAACTATGTGACATTTTTATCAGCAGGGTCACACGTTACAGATTATGTGACCGTTTTTGTCATACAAGGCCAGACGGTACCAGAGTTTTGGCAAACAGTCATATCATATGGGTAAAAAGTCACAAGGATTTCTAACATAAATACGATGTACAATACAACATGATAGAGAATGTATGTGATATAGACGGAAGAGATATTGTAAGCAATGTTGTATGTACCTTGGGTTTTTTTTAATGGTGGATATAACAGAAAAAAATACATGTTCAAACCAGTACTTAAATGTCTTTCATGGAAAAAGAAGAACTACGGGCGGTAAATACGAAATAGCCTATGTTTTATTATGATTTTCATTAATATTTTTCCCCAGCATTTTCATTTTCAAAGAATTATATTTTCTTATATTTCACACTCGAAAAGATGAAAATAAAAACCTCTTGAAAGTAGCAATAACAGCAGTATATTATCTTTTATCAAGAACATATATACTTCTTAGATCCTCCAGTTGTCGAAGTTCCCAGCAATATAACCGTGAACGACCAGGACGACCTGATATTGCAGTGTATTGTCAACTCTTACCCTCCATCATCGGTCACGTGGTACAGCCCAGATACTAAGAAGATATCAAATACGTCTATGTTGGAACTGAAAAATGTGAGCCGCACATACATCGGAGAATACACGTGCAGAGCGGAAAATGAGATACAAGGCTTAACGTTTACGACTAGCAACAGTACTCTGTTGTTCGTTAACTGTAAGCTAGCAACCATTTCTACTTCCAACAAAAATATTCTATAACATCCAGATAATGAAATTGATGACCGATTTCATATAGAGTATAGCGAAAGGCAGTTAATACCATTATTTACAAGCAGTTTAGAATTATTGTTTTGACTTTATTGTCGCAAACGGATTTGTACATACATATATATTTATTGGACATTTAGTTTCATGATTAGATGCATGTGTGTGTGTTTCACATTTCAGTCGCACCTGTCGTTGTCGTTTCACACAATACGACTGCAGTTGAATTCCAAGACATCGTAATTGATTGCAAAGTGGTATCGTATCCCATGTCAACTGTTACATGGCAAAACTATAACAACCAGGATATTTCTAATTCATCCGGTTTATTACTGAAATATGTCCGACCCAAAGATGAGGGAATTTACACATGCACTGCTGAGAATGTCATACAGGGAAATCACCATACAAGGAGCGCATCAACCACCTTGTATATCACACGTAAGTCTAACCATAGGAATATATCTGTACAAATTTCAAGATTGATAGCTTATGGTAAGATTATGGCGACTTAAACCTTACAGTTCGCTTTTTACGCATTGTTGTTCACGAAAAATAAAGCCGGGGAAAAGCGGCGTAACGAAAAAATATAACCCAACTAAAGCAAAAGAACGAAAATAGGAAAACACGCGAAAGAGAAATAACAAAACTCTCCAAAACGGAGTAGAAATAAAAGACACCAAAGAGTAGAGTTAAAAAAAGCGATTTTTTTTATTCATGTTAAGCGTCTTTGGTTTTACGTCTCAGGTATGAATGTATTATTTCGAATATATCATACTGAAAATATGTGTCCAAACATCGAAAACTTTACACTGTTTAAGAAATCTTTGTTATTGTTGTTCAAGCTGGCTTTCATTCTATTTTAAAGGTAATCTTGTGTTTTTACAGCAAATCCTACGTGTTATATACCAAACGCTATCCGTGAGTATTTCCAACGTATTTATCGATATATCGGTAAATTGTGGTAATATAGATTTCGGTTATTGGAAATAACAATAGGCTTATTTAAAGAAAGTGATGGATAGATATCATTGTGTTGTTATTGTCATCGCTTACTACGGCGTTAAAATCAAACATTGTCATCACATTGATGTGTAATCTTTATTAAATATTAAGTTAAAAAATATAAAATGGTATCAAAACACTAGGTTTTGCACATCAAAATTTTCACATCTTTGCGAGTGAAATTCAACGCTGATTTCTCAATGAATAAAGAGTAAAATCTTTTCTTTACAATGTATGTAACATTTGTAAGAATGAAACATTAAAAATTAAAAAGCATTAAATACCATGACGTTATTGGATAGAAAAAAAATTACACAAAAAATTTATTAAGCCTTACATTGACGAATAAAATTCTATCCATACAGCCAATATTTACATATTGTAAAACGCAGTATTATATTAGTGATAAGATAAGCTGTCAAGGAATTCTACATTTATCACGAAGAAAAGACATTTTATTATATACCATGTGTGTCAAATAGATCTCTATAATAATGATCGTTGTTTTTTCAACAGAGACTAAACAGCACTGTCGTTGTAATCGACGATGTACTTATTTGAAGAATATACTAAATATTACTATGGAGCAAGCTAGAAATGCCATGGAACAAATAAAGAAGGAGCTAACAGTGGAACCAACGACGCTTACGAGTTACATCATAAAGAAAATATCCATGAAAAATTCCAATACCTCCTCCATTGGCTTTGGGGTCATAGCTATTATGATTATTATACTCGTTTTTGGGTTTCTGGTTGGAGGCGATATCATTAAACTCGCTAAATACCTTCATGATTGTAGGAGACTTGAATTAAAGGAAGTAAAAACCGTGAACAAAACGTCGGAAAGCAAAGAGATTCGAGCTAAAACAAATAGACAGAGGAAAAAACGGAAACTAAAGAAATGCAAAGGAGACAAAGAGAATGAAGGTTTGAATCCCAAATATAGAACATTGAAAAAACTTTAGAAAATCATGCTGAAATCATGATATGGGACACAAACATTTTTTCAAACCAGCACTTTACAATTAGTGATGTCATAAGAAGACACACAAGAAGGGGATTATCTGAAAGCAACTAACGTTTAAATCGATGTAATACCAACTTATGCTTTTTGTGTTGAATGCGAACTTCAGTGTTCTTCTTCATTACTCGTTTGTTCCAGGAGACTTCCATCGCGGTGCTACCTGATGCTTTTGTGAACAAATAAATATTCGGAAGAAAGCATCGGGCTGCATATATGTGTTTGATATTATGTTTGCAATTGATTGTAATGTCCGTAAGAATAATATATGTTATAGAAAGTTACAAATAGTTGAAAAGAGACTTTCCGTAGCCCATTGTGTATGAATATGTAAAAAGGAGCCGATCTTACTTATGAAATTAAACTTATGTTCATTGATCTTGGGCCCATTAGGGTCTTGTAAGTTTGTTGTAGATGAAGATGTTTCATTAAACAAAATACATGTAAATTCAAGTGTGATTCAATGTTGTAACATGTTAATGAATTACTCTCGCACACATTTACACCGCTTCACCATATATAACTACAACTTTATATTCACAACGCTATTAACTACCTGACTGTGGCGACATAAAAATGAAAAAGCTTCACCAAGCCACTATATTTCTTAGACCGTGCATAATACTACCGTCAGCCAACCAGTCTTATCTATACTACTGCCTGACGAACTAATATTTGTTTATTTACTCCCACGACGTTTTGACCTGTCATCAGACGAGAAACAGATAGGAAAATGAGAAGGGAGGAAATAGTATGGAGCGAAGGGAGGTAGTGAGATACAGAGACAAGTTAAGGACGGCCTCTTTCGGCTTATAAAAACAGTAACCTAATTCTGACTAGGCATGTCTCAGAAAGAGGACCTGTTTTGGATAGAGAGGGAGAAGATAAGGATCATATTCTCTATAAATTCAATACCTCCATACTATTTTTGGAAGTCGGTCAAAATTGCTAACCTAACCCTAACAGCTGTTGTGATTCTTCTGTTACTTTTTCAAGGATCCCCGTGTAAATATTTCTTTTTGTTCATATTTTGCCCTGGTTTTTGTCGAATTAGTTTTTGGATTATGTTAGTGTTGTGTTGTTGCTTTTCTTACTGTCTCCAATTACAATCAAATACTCAAAATACTTGTTTACGAAAACTTTCCGTAGATATCCCTTCCAATGATGCAAATGTGAGTTTTAAGTTTGGTTGACTTTACATGAAAAGCCATGTCAAAGAATGGGTACGACGATAATACTATGATGCATTGGATTCAATTTCTGAGTGGGTTAAACCCAATCTATAAACAGTTCTAAAAAAATACATTATAATTAAAGCAAACATAAGTTTGTAATCCTGAATTCAATACAGCATTTAACGATTTGCTTTTTCATTATCATTCGCTGCGTCGATATAAAAGTCAAAATTATCTGAACGTGTTGTGAATTAAACATGATTCAAAGTCACACGACAAATATAAATATCAGCTTTAGAGATGGGCTATCGTTCACTTTTTTAATTTAATTCCCATGGGCTTGTGTCACAAAAATATCATATTACACCGTTTGTTTGTTTTTTATTATTGTTATATTGACGTGAAGTTCGCCTCAAATGAGAATTTGTTACAGAATGCCAGTCCATACCTAGGATAAATCAATATTGATTCCTGATAGGTTGACTTTAACAATAGCGACTCAACCTGTATAGAACGAAAGGGAAACGTATTTCATAAATATTGTATTGTTTTTTTGTTTGTTTATTTACAATTTACCTATAATTATGATTTGATAATTGTCTATATAATCTCTGTTACATTAACTACGAATTCATTTCCAAGTTAAAAACTTAATGAGAGTCAAACATGTTTGAATATATAGTTGTTCAGACAATGAAGACTATCGTTATCAGGCTGTAATGAAGTTGTAGATAATGAGTATGATCAACATGCTCTGTGGTGAATTGATTTAATACCTAAAGTAAATATGCGTGGATAAAACATCTTACATATGAATTTTCCTTGAAACATTTCTTTGAAGATATGGATGTTATGGAACATTAAAAAACCTATAATGTCAATTTTGATATAGAAACAGGAATCAATTTCCGAGGAAACCTTTTTTCGTCAAGACGTGCCAATTTCGATGAAGATTAACTATGATTTATTTATTGGCCGTGGTTATAGATACATTACAACGTATTCAAATTTATTGATTTCTTTACATATTCGTAATTTGGCGTGATGAGATGACTATCAATTTTTGTGAATATAAAATAAAAAGATGTACATTAGTTCAGAATGGTTCAGTGTCTCAGTCTACTCACGGAATAATTACTGCTGGGAATTATTGAGAGGATAGCACACAAGGTAAGTGTTTTATATTTTAAGTGATTGAAAAGAGTTTATTGTAAAATACTGTATTTGATTATTTTAAAGAATGTTTCACTATCAGTATTAAATACACCAAAAGATCAGGCAGTGGGGATATGGAATTTCGGAAATGTAAGAGTGAAGTATATGAGAAAGATGAAAAACCAGAATAAGATAGAGCAAAATCTGTAGATGACAAATCATTTAAAAAGGAATTAATTAAATACTATCACGAGGAGTAATCACGTGACTTGCAATGATCACGCTTTCACCAGAAGCGGCTCGCCTCGGAGGTAAGTTGACCTTAGTTTGATATGATAGCTTGTGAATTTGAAAATAAGACATAGCCCATGGAAGATGTACATATTCCTTTAGTTTTTTTCCCCAAAGGACAGCATTCAAACACGTGTAGTTTCTGCAAACACTTCGACAAAGTGTCAAGCGAGTTATAATTGTGTTTTGATCACACCTACACTTTTATCCTATCGCTGGCGAATTTGAACGAAATCACAAAATTAACGTGTTTCATATGCAATTTTCCATCGTCCACTTGATGTTGTTTGCAAAAGATTATTAATCCAACAGTGAATATGTCTGTAAAACCTGTAAATTGACGGATCTGGTCAAATTACGTAAAATGATCACGCTTACACTATGTCTGTTGCTTGATCACGCTTACACAAAATTAAAATGTTAATAGTAATCTCTTCATTTTGTGGAATAATAAGTTATTTTAGCAATGTCCTTATGTATCCTTTTGAGCTAAACACTTTCTGACAGATGTCGCATTTAAAACTTCTTTTGGTATGACTGCCCATATGAACTTTAAGAGTTTGCTTTGATTTGAAGTCCTTACTGCATTTTGTACATGGTATTCTTTTTTCAGTCTCGTGGGATTTTAAGTGTCTGTGGTAGTTTGTTCTGAATCTAATATTTTTCCACAGCTTTTACATCTAAACTTTTTTTCGCCTGTATGTATACCAGAATGTTCTTTTAAATCGGAACTTCTTTCAAATTTCTCATTACAGTCTTTACATTGAAATTTTAATTGCCCTCTTCGCGCATTTTATGGCGCTGTAAATCTTGTTTGCTATAATAAGCATTATTGCAAACATCACACACAAATTCTCGTTTATGTTCATGTAATTTTTCCATGTGTGTTACAAAAACACTCTTGCTATAGAAAGGCATTTCGCAGTCCTCACATTTATATGGCCCCTCTGATCGATGGCGTAACTCATGCTGCCTCAAGGAACTTCTACCTCTTAAAACCTCTCCACAATATTTGCAAACATAAGGGTGATCCGTCGGACATATTTACAACTGAAAAAGAAGAAATTTAATGTAAATGAGAGAGAGAGAGAGAGAGAGAGAGAGAGAGAGAGAGAGAGAGAGCAGTGTAAGTGGGTAGAATACTGAATCTCTGTATCGATAACATATGCCGTTTAATCTGATATTATGTCACTCCTAATACTGTCATCAGTAACTTGTGGTCTATACGTAAAGTTTGTTCCAACAACCCCGACCAACAACTTCAACTGATTCACGCAAGTTTCATTAATGCTGGTAAATTAATATTATTTTAACCGTCAATCCGTCATTCCCCCATTTAAGGGATCACATTTAATTTTGCGTTCGAGGTTTTTGGCAAAAGTACAAAGGCACAAAGTGAAACTTTACTTTTTTGTGTAAGCGTGATCAACCAACAGACATAGTGTAAGCGTGATCATTTTACGTAATTTGACCAGATCCGTCAATTTACAGGTTTTACAGACATATTCACTGTTGGATTAATAATCTTTTGCAAACAACATCAAGTGGACGATGGAAAATTGCATATGAAACACGTTAATTTTGTGATTTCGTTCAAATTCGCCAGCGATAGGATAAAAGTGTAGGTGTGATCAAAACAAAATTATAACTCGCTCGACACTTTGTCGAAGTGTTTGCAGAAACTACACGTGTTTGAATGCTTTCCTTTGGGGGAAAAACTAAAGGAATATGTACATCTTCCGTGGGCTATGTCTTATTTTCAAATTCACAAGCTATCATATCAAACTAAGGTCAACTTACCTCCGAGGCGAGCCGCTTCTGGTGAAAGCGTGATCATTATTACATGTCACGTGATTACTCCCCGTGACTATACTCAATGAGACAAATAACAATCAAAGTACTGAAAGTACTGAAAGGCTAAACGTATTGAAAAATGTTCACAGATAACCGCAAAGCTATATTACTTTCCCCTATACTCCTACACTTTGGAATGCAGAAATTACTAAAATAAGAGAACCAGAAGCTATTTTTCTTAGTTTTAAGCGAGATAGGTAAAAAAAACATAACAAAATACACACAACCATATATCTATCGCCAACAAGCCAAAAGATAAATAGCTCTATGATGAAGTTGACTAAATTAAAACCTTTGAAATACCCAAGATGTTGCAATTACTATCCTATCAATATGAGGATTTAGACAAATCATGGTTAGACTTTTCTTCCAGTTATTATGTCTATAAAGACATAGTTCTTTCAGATTAAACCAGACTTCCATATATATACAAGATTTACAATATTTCACTATAGCTACTACTATTTCT